CTGATTTTTTTCCAATTCTTTGGAATTTTTTCCGATTTTTTTTTAATTTTTTCGATTTTTTTCTGATTCTTTTTCGATTTTTTGGAATTTTTTTCAATTTTTTCTCTCTTTTTTTTTTCCTATTTTTTCTGATTTTTTCCTATTTTTTTCCAATTTTTTCCCATTTTTTTCCATTTTTTTTCCAATTTTTTCGATTTTTTTTTATTTTTTCCAATTTTTTTCGATTTTTTCCAACGTTTTGGGGATTTTTTGGGATTGGGGGTAGGGATCAGGGTTGGGATTTGGGAATTCCAGGCTCACCTTTCCCAGTTTTTCCCAGAATTCCGGGGATTCCTCCCGGCCCCTCAGGCTCGGGGGGATGAACCAGAAGCAGACGTTGATGAATTCCGGCTGCGGGAACAAGGAGATCCCAAATCCCGGGATTTGGGGGAGAATTCAACCTCCTGGATCGAATTCTCCGGGATTGGGACCCATTTAAATTCCAGGATTTAAATTCCAGGATGATTTAAAACTCCAAGATTTAAACTCCAGGATTTAAAGCTCTGGGATGGTTTAAAACTCCAGGATTTAAATTCCAGGATGATTTAAAACTCCAGGATTTAAACTCCAGGATTTAAAGCTCTGGGATGGTTTAAAGCTCTGGGATTTAAATTCCAGAATGATTTAAAACTCCAGGATAATTTAAAACTCTGAGATTAAAGTTCCAAGATTTAAATTCCAGGATGATCTAAACCTCCAGGATTTAAATTCCAGGATTTAAAGTTCCAGGATGATTAAAAACTCCAGGGTTTAAATTCCAGGACAATTTAAAACTCTGGGATTTAAATTCCAGGATGACTTAAAACTCTGGAATTCCAACACTCACCCACCCCCCCCCACCCCATTTAGGGCCCCCAAACCCCGCCAACCCCCCAACCCCAACCCCAACCCCAATCCCATCCCCAATCCCAACCCCAATCCCAATCCCGACCCTTCCCTACCTCTGTGACGAGCCTGAACCCCTCCCGGAGCTTCACCTGCTGCAACAGGAACCTGGGGGAGACAGGGGGGGTCCAGACCCCATTTTGGGGGGTCCTGGGGGGTGACTCCCCACCCAGGGGGTTCCCCAGGGTGGGTGATTCCCTCCCAGGGATCCCATGGAGTGACACAGGGTGGGTTATTCCCCATTTGGGGGTCAGGGGGTTCCCCAGGGTGGGTGATTCCCTCTCCAGAGGGTTCCCCAGAGTGGGTCCCTCCCCTCTGGGGGTCAGGGGGTGACACAGGGTGGGGTGAGCCCCCACCCAGGGGTCCTGGGGGTTATTCCCCCTCTGGGGATCCCAGGGGGTGACACAGGGTGGGTCCCTCCCCTCCAGGGATCCCGGGGGTTCCCCAGGGTGGGTGATTCCCTCTCCAGGGGGTTCCCCAGGGGGGGGCCCTCCCCCGCCGGTCCCTCCCCAGGGTGGGTCCCTCCCCTCCAGGGATCCCAGGGGGTTCCCAAGGGTGGGTGCGTCCCCCTCCAGGGGGTTCCCCAGGGTGGGTCCCTCCCCAGGGTGGGTCCTTCCCCTCCAGGGATCCCGGGGGTTCCCCAGGGTGGGTCCCTCCCCCTCCAGGGGGTTCCCAGGGTGGGTCCCTCCCCTCCCGGGGGGTCGGGCTGTGCCCCCCACCCTCCCTCTCACCGGGAGGCAGCGAATGCTCTCTCCACGCGCTCCCTCA